AAAACTCAACGATTATGAACATAATGAGGTGGCGGTTGCTTTTAAAGGTACCAATGGTACACATATACACCTTTTATACCATTTATTTTGTATGTTTTTCTCTTACAGTACCTTTTGGTTCACTATATTCTGAAGTACTTAGAGCAAAAAACCTAACCTATTGACCTTTTAAGTATTTGCAAACGAATAAATTAAAAAAAAATGAGATATGCAATTTAATACTATGATTAATTTAGCCTAGATTAAATTTTTTACAAAACTTTTTTCAACTTTATACTAAGCTAAATTTGTTCAAGTGAATAATTTAAAAAACATTCAAAAATATGTAGCCTTTTAATCGCAATTTATGCAGTACATCATTATCAAGTATAAGTCTTTTTGACTTCTTAGCTAGCTTAAATTTCTTGGGCTTATTATTTCTACATGTGTTTAAAGCTTATATGACTTTGAAAATTCATAAATTCTATTTCGCATTTATTAAAAGTATAATACTTATTTATAAAATAAATATTGTTTCTAAATCTCTAATATTTGCTTCAATTAATAGGGCAGTTTTTTGAAGCAAAGCCAGATTTGGCTTTAGAGCTAAAGGTTAACAAGAAATTACTTGCATGACACCATGATTATTTAGTCAGATCATTTGTGTATTTCATATTTAGTCTTTACTTTAACAAAAATTAAGTTTATTTTATGATGATGGAGTGCTTCGTTCTGATAATGACATGTAAACTCATATTTATATGATAAATAGTTATTAGCAAAAATCTCTAGCAATCACACTACAAATTATTTTAAGAACTATTTGCAGTGATTTTGACCCACAAGATTTTCAGTGTTCATTTGACCTTAAAAGGTAATTATTATTAAGTATAAATCCAAATTATTCAACTTTGATAGCTGGAAAGGGTTAAAATAAAATTCATTGACCATCAAATATAAAGTACTATGCATGGCATTAACAAGAATAAAATCACTTTTGACTTATTTGCATATATGCAATTATTCACTTTTTGTATTGAATAAATGTACAAGATACTAATTTAACTTAATAATTACTTCAAAAGTATTAAATTTGATCCAAATGCCCGTAGATTAAATAACTTGTGAAGTACTGAAATATTTGCTTGTTTTAAAAATTTGGCTGTTTATGGTTTATGATGATTTGACTTAAGCTGCTGCTTGTTTGCACTAATTATGCTAATTTTTCAATATCCGTTAGACCCACTTTATTTGAAACCTGAAGTTGATGTTGCAACAAAATACAAATCTGGAATATTTTACAGACTTTAAATAAATTTTTGATAGTTAAATTATCATTTTGTCCGTTTACTAGAAGATCAGTACAGAAGAAATATTCAGAGTATTAGTGAGAATAAATGCAGTACAAATGTTATTTAAAATTGTACTCTATTTTTATTCTAAATTATTATCGTTAGGACAGCAAATGAATATAAAGTTGCTTACATTTATTTTTTATGATATACTTTAATACAGATTTAAAATGTACTGAAAATATCTGTTTCATTTACTGATTTGTCTATCTATCGATTGATTTATTGAATGTTATAGATCAACCCGATCACATTAATGGAAGAATCAAATCTTGTAGTGAAACAATTGAAAAAATTTTGAATAGCAATGTTATTCATAAGTGTAAAAGTATCAACTTGTGGCTTATTCATAAAAGTTATCATCAAAGTTTATAGTATTCATTGGAACAATCCGAATTTCTTAGCAGTATCTAAATGTAATGTTCAGATACTGTTAAGAAAGTACTAAGTTTCTGACTAACTTCACATCTGAAGTCAGTCAAAACTGCTTCATACGTTATTTTTACTATCGAACATATATCATCAATTGAAATTGTGAATTAGTTTCAGAAAGTTAGCAATGATTTGAATCTTCAAAGTATGAAAATGAAAATAAAATTAAAACAATCAATTTGAAAATTTTGAAAAATTTTATTTCTTATCAAATCTGCGGTTGATAAATCTAAATAAATTTGATTAACAATGCAATATCAAAATGCTAGCATGCAATACCAAAGTGGTAGCATGCAATACCAAAGTGGTAGCATGCAATACCAAAATGGTAGCATGCAATACCAAAATGGTAGCATGCAATACCAAAATGGTAGCATACTAAAATTTCATACAAAATAATTGCCAAAGACTGAAATATTCTTTGAGCAAAATTTACTTAACAATTTTACTAAAAATTTATTAAAATCAAAAAACAAATAAAAGGTCATGATAGTTCACAGACTAAAATTAAGCTTATCTTAATAGCTTCACTAAGGCGATAGTTGGTGAGATTAACAGTAAACTATCAATCCATATTACAGTCTATTATGCCATGGTCTGGTAAATAATACAGGCTAATAATAAAAAACTAATAGTATATGTTATTTCTGCTAAAATTTACAATTTTTATCAAGCAACGGATATACAACAAATATCTAACTTTTTTCTACCGATTTTTTACGCAGACTTCAATATATTTCAAGCCAAAATTAAAATGACTGCAATGAAACGTAATTAGCGAACAAAACTGAATAAAATATTTATTATTCTTAATAGATAAACATTCTTGCACTGAGATAAAATCTGAATAATTTAAAAGCATAATAATCAAAAACTTGACGAATTATAGTTTTGCATTCCGGAAAGTAATACAGTTCTGGTAATTTTACAAGTTATATTAATAGTATGATTCTAAAAATTTACGCTACTTTTGTAGTATAAATAAATAAATTGAATTTACTGAAAGCAAATTTAAATGCAATAATATTAAATGATGAATTGTTTGATTATCAAATTATCATTATCTTATTATAAATAAATAATCATTGATTGTAAATGTATATTTTATATTACAAATTAATAAATGGAACTAAAAATTTGACAATTTATTTTATATTACAAAAAAAATTTTTTTGATTTTGAATTTATTTCGAATTGAAATATATATATATGTATATATATATTTTGAGATTCGAACTAAATTCAAAATTCAAAACTCAAAATATTAAATGTATTTTTGAGTAAAATTTTTTACAAAAATGAAACTAAAAATGTATGTGATAGGATGACAATTTGATAATCAAAAAAGTTAAAGTTAACACATATATTATTAATTTCCTTGTAAAATAGTGATAATTGCTGCATCTGAAAGTAACTCTTCCACTGCTTCAATAAAAACTTTGAAGAAACTTTTTATGAAAATAAAATAAAAATTTGTAATAATTGTGCTTTGTATAGCAGTTTAGAGCTAATAAAGCACAAACAAATGTCTCATGAATATTATAAATGAAAAGGCAAATGCAAAAATTACTCAAAAATAATACTGAAATTTACAAAGTTATACTTGAAATTATAACTTGTTTAGCAAGAAAAATTGCAAAAAACATTGCAATTTTTATGAAAGTTATAAAGTATCATTTTTTGAATGCTAATTTGTTTTGATGCCAAAAATTTGGCGTATTTGCTAATCAAAACGTAATGGGAAAGATCACTTTTCTAGCGTAAAAAATTGAGTAATAAAAAATTTTAATATAATTAGTTACTCTAAAGCATATTATTATTTAATTAAAGAGATAACAAATAGCAAAATAATAAGTATTACTGACAAAAAAATAAAGCATATATTAATAATACAGAAGATCTGATTCAAAGTTTTAAGCTATATTTTCTGTTGTACAAGTAAAATATTTTTTCAGACTAATTTTTATTTATTCTAATTTTTCAAAATTTTTAACTTCACAATTTTTAAAAAATAACTGAAGAACAAATAAAATTTTAATTTTCCAGATTAAATAATTTAATTTCAATTAAATTTAAAATGAAAAATATCTAAAAATTTATATGAGTAAGATTATGTAAAAAAATTTTTACTGATTTTTGTATACTTTAATATTTCAAAAACTTTTTCAAACTTTTTAACTTCATAATTTGGAAAAAAATATATTAAGAACAAAAAAAAGAATAGAATTTCGTAGATTAAATAATTTAATTTGAATTAAAATTGAAATTATTTGAAATTTTAAATAATAATTGTGTATAAAATACAATTATGTATAAAAATTTTTGAGTATATTTTTCAGAATTTTTGAAAATTACAAGAAACTGCCTATATAGTGGAAAAAAATTACACTAAAAACAACTACGCTCTTTCAATTACACATAAAGAAAAAAAAATACCATTTTGAGCAAAATTTTATGAATTAATTGTTTTTTATGCTATGAAAACTGGAATTTGTGACAAATGTTTTATGTATTAATTAATATAAAAGGTTGAACACTTAGGCGAAACATTTGAACTTTACTAGTAATAAACTTTTCTTGCAGTCTTAAATTTGCTATTATTAAAAAGTACCATAAAATAGCACATATGATGGCATATGTTAGTAAATATTTTAAATTAAGATTGACGATAAAAGTTAGTTTTAGTTAGTTTTTGTTTTTATTTTTGTTTGCAATTCAATTTGTTCAAATTTTTTTAATTTGTAAGCATAAATCATTGTAAAGTGCGCATTGTATAAATACAGTTTTTTAGCTATTTCCACCAATTAACCCAAAAAGTATGGAAACTATAATTTTTTAGTACAATTTAGTGATTACTTAAAGAATCTTTGCCTCGTAATAAATTGAATTAAATTTTAAAAATTACAACAGTAGAAAATTTTTTATCTTTTGATTTTAATTATGAAAAGTTTGTATGCATACATTCAGTCTTACTGATAGTCAAAGCATTCAAGATATTTAAAAAAATAGCTTAATTGTTTATAAAACAAACTTTATTTAATATAATATATATAGAAAATAAGCTTAAATATCTAATTATTAAAAGGTTTAATTTCGAACTGTAGTGAACTGTAATAGCATTGTAAGTACTAAAGTACAAATTTAAACTGCAGTTTTTATTTAAAATTAATAGAAAGCAAATTTTTGAAATTATATCTTTAATTTCACTAACGAAATTTTCAGGATATTCCGAGCAAAATGCTTAGATACTTGACATTAGCAGTTATTTTATTTCTACGCGATTCTTCGGTATCTGCTTGTAGTTGCTGCCCTTTTCGATGCCCACCACCATCTCCTTGTCCATCTTTGATTTGTCCACAAAAAGTTTGCCCACCTCCGACAGCATGTCCAGTTGTCGTACACCAGCCATGTCCACCATGCCCTGTATGTTATTGTATCAATGTTATAATCTTTCAGTTTTGATTTATTTTTCTCACTTATAAAACTTTTAGATCTGCTGATTTTGAAAATTAGACGAGCATTTACAACTTCACTTATATACTTATAATTGTATCAAAAATGTCTAATCAATAAATTTTTACAGAAACCAAAGCCAATTCCTATGTCAGTCATAGCAATACCACTAAGACTAAAGCCTGTAGTAGTAAACACGTGCTGCGCAACGTGCCCGATTCCATGCACTGTACGTCACAAACGTGATGCTTCGGATAATAAAACTGTTGAACTGAGTAATCCCATATGCAACAATAAAATGCTTCATGACACAATTACAAAAGTATGATATTTTCTTTTATTAGCATTATTAGCTTAATTTGCTTGCGTTAAAAAAGCAACTGTTTTTCAATTTTTCTTAACTAATCTTTAAAGTATTTTCTACCAAATTCTCATCTAATTTATTAATTCTTAAAGAAAGAATCATAATAATTATCGTTAATAGCTTATAATCATCTAAAATTATATTTCAACTCTTGCTGTTTAAAAAAAAGTTATGAATATTTCTAACAACTAAAGAAGATAATTATTCTAATTAAAATCTTCATTATTCTTTTTTCTGTAAACAAAAAATTTTATAAATACAAAAAAATTGAAAATATATTTCTATAAAAAATTTGATTTCAGCAAATGACATTTGACCCAGTAATTTCTCAACAACAAATTGTGAAAGCTTTGATTAAATTTGACCAATATTATAATGTTATCTGCGCAAGTGGTGAATTATCGTATGCTGCATATACGAATGATTTTTGTCAAGTTGTCAAAGATGGAATTGCTTGTTATGCTTTTAAACAATTGTAAATATTTTTCATTCTTTTAAGTCAGAAATACTTAATTTTATGAATTAAGTCATTTTCTTGTTAACTTTGCTTCTTATTAGTTTCTATATATGTATTTTCTTCATAGTTAATACGTATATACTGTCAAAACATTCATATACTTCAAATTTGTATATGAATAATTGAAATTAAACTTTTTGCACTACACGTTTTAGACACGCATCAAAACGTCTGCCAATTTACTGAGAAAAAAACAAATTTAGAAGAAATTATTAATCAAAAATCCGTTTAAAATTTGTGAATAAATCAAGCAAAACACTATGAAATAAAGCTTATGCGTGATCTAAACTTCATATTTTCTTCTTTCACTAAAATTTATCTAACAATTTTACTGAAAATCTGTTAAGATTAAAAAACAAATTCAAAATCTAAAAAAATAAATCTTCTTTTTAATTGAGCAACCTTTTCAGAATTTTGTCTAATACGTAAACTGAACTTAGACAAAAAAAGTAAGTGCTAAGTTCGTTTGACAAAATATCTGATTTGTACTCAAAAGATACAATATTTCTTATTAATAATACAATTATTTTCTCTGTTGAAGCAATTATTTAACTAAAATTATAAAAAGCAAAATATTACTTTAGGAGCAGAATTTTGAATTAATAATTAAAATTTGAGTGCAATAACAATTTTCTTGAATGGTTTAAGACAGATAAAAGTTCGCTTATTGTGCAGAACTTTAAAAATAATAATAATACATAACAATAAAAAAATAGTAATAGAATATAATACAGTACACTTAATGCAGCGAAAACTTTTAAAACGATGTACTGCGAATTTCCTGATCAGCCATAATTTTCTGACCAATCATAAGATTGATTGGATTTGTTGTTCTTGTAAACTACAAATTGATACATCGACTGAATTTGTATCTGTTCAAAGTTTTCTCAATGCTGAATAGAGTAAGCAGTACTTTAACTCTGTACAATCCCAATGCTGAATAGAGTAAGCAGTACTGTAATTCTGTACAATTCCAGTGCTGAATAGAGTACGCAGTACTGTAATTCTGTACAATAAAAGTGTAACAAAATTGCAAGGATTACAAATTTCACTTTTTTAAAAACATTTTAACTTTCAATAAGGCATATTTTAAATCCATGTAATTACAAAATCCCTATTTTTCAACAATTTTTGTAATTT